CAAAGTTAGACTAAGTAATAAATGTGTAAGTATTATTTAAGAGTAATTAAGTTCAAATAAAATTGAGAAAATCTATATAAGCTATTGTTTGTGTTACTACGTTAAGAAATAGGCTAATCATAGTAGTAAAATGACGCCACCGTGCAAATGACCCCTGTTATTTGCCTTTCTCAGGGGGCCCCGGTTATAGGCTGTAAGCTCCTTCATCCCTAGAAATAAATCAGGGGATTGCGGGTTGTATTGATGGATTACTTGGGGGTTCTGAAATAACAAGGTAGCATCTGAAATAACGTAAAGTGAAGGGAAAATTACCGACCTTTCATAAGTTACGTGTTTCCCAAGTGATCATAGTACTCTTAAGTACCGATCGAAAGCTAGTCCCCAGTCTCCCAGGTTGTCTAGAATTCCTTTTTCGTATTCTTCTTTTTAGACGTTTTCCCTTGCCATGCAAGCAGCTGATTCATGTACTTGAGTGGGGGGGAGAGGGGAGAAGAAGGGAGAGTACCGAGGAACGAGCGCCATCCATATTGCTGTCACTTGCAAGGGTAGCACTTCCGATCGGTCGTGCAACGACGGAAATCTGCTTCAACCAATCAGAAGCACTACCCAAATCTAGGAAGTTACACTTCATCAGTATGGAATTTCTGCGCCCTTTCCTCAGATGTCATTTCGTTCTTTCCTAAGGCTAAGCTTGCTTGCGCTCGCTTTGAACACGTGAGCCGAAATGCACAGACCGCGCGGAATAACGATCCCTAGGAGGTTGAAGAGGTTTTCTCCTGCTTTTAAACCATCACTCATGGTATTGCAAGTAAACCGATGAACATGCTGAGCGTTTCATGGGCTTTACGAGTTGAGGAGTTCATTTTGCTGCCAGCGTTTAATACTTGCAGGGACGGATGCGGGATTTTTCTTAAGAGAGGATACACCACTGAGGAACTAACATTTTAACTGCCATTTTCACGGTGTTTTCACTGAATTCTTCAACCTCGTCTCATGTATTAATTTAACACCAATAAACCACAAAGCTTTTTTGTTGCAGAATACCTGTTGTATAAGAAAGCCGCAGGTCATCTCAGGGGAGGGGTGCACACCCCCATTACCTTCCCCCTACATCCGCCCCTGACTTGGGTTTGAGTTCATAATACCAATAGGCCATTTTACAGTTATGGATGAAAGCGAGGCTGAGTGTGACCTTGTTTTGATACAAACCCTCCTGATTTATTATGTAAATCAAGTTATTCTTATGCTAAATGGTATTTTTCAAGAACATTTCTATAATAACAAAGCAAAGAAGGTTTGTTTTAAAACAAGGTCACCCTCAGCCTCGCTTCCATCCATAACTGTAAAATGGCATACCGTAAAATTCCGAAAATAAGGTCCGGGGCTTATATTTTTCAAAGGCCCTTTTTGAGGGGCTTATTTTTGGAGGGGCTTATATTCGGAGGGGCTTATCTATGGAGGGAAATTTGCGTTTCAAAATCAATTGGGCTAGCCTTATAGTTGGAAGGAAATTTACCGTTTTTGCTTTGTTTTCCTTAGAATTTGAGGGCAACTTCCAAGTACAAGCCCCGGGGAGCTTATATTTGGAGGGGCGATTTAATAAAGGGTTTTTTGCGTTACGAGTTTGGGGGGCTTATATTTGGAGGGGCTTATACATGGAGGGGCTTATTTTCGGAATTTTACGGTATTTCAGGACTGAAGCACACGCTACCAACTCCACGGTATGGCCAGTACCTTACGCATGCCCACAACCATATCACCGAGGCAGTGGCAGCCATGGACAGCTGTTTCGCCCTTATTGGGGCTCAGCATCATGGCAGCCGTTGGGTCAAAAACCCTTTACTGCAGAGGCGAGTGCAAATCAGCAATCCTAGCCTACATGGCAGGCATTAGGAGGGAAAGGGAGGGGGATTTCTTCTTTTCTCCCCAGTATCCCCTCCCCTTTATGCACCTGCCAAGCAAGCTTCACCCCATGGAAGGGAATCCGGATTCTGGAATGCGGAAAATTTTTGCCTGTGGGATCCGAAATCCGGAAAATTTTGCTTGTGGAATCCGGAATCCTGGGCTTTGGAGTCCAGAATACAGCTTAAGGAATCCACTTACGACTAAAATCCAGAATCCAAGTTCTAGTGATAGAGACTGAAATCCAGTACCTGGAATCCTGAAATCTGTGAAGGCGTGAAATCGAGAATCCCAGACTATCATGGATTCCCGTGACGTGGGGCTACAGGCTCTGGGTTCTCGTTCCTTGGTGCAGCTCAGCATGATTGAGAATTTCTTTAAACCCAGGCATGGGCTCTTTTTGAACCATTTTCTGCGCTCTCACAGGTATGCCATGTGTTTGGTTATTAGCCTGCGTATACAGCCGTCTCTCCTCTCTAGAGACGTGTCTCTCCCGCGAAACGTCCCTTGCGGCGAGGAGCGCGCGAGGCAGAGTTTCATTACTCAGTTGAAATACTCGTCACTTCTTAGGATCAGTCTCACCCGTAAATAGTGAAATTTCAAGAAAAACGTCACTACAGCCAGAAATATATATTTTCTGATGCCCTTGAAGAAGACTACAAACTACTGGGAGCCCGTTTACGAGCACTCGAAAAACGCGAAACGAGTACATGTAGCGCGAGACTCACGCGCCAATTGAGACTGGGTTCTAAAAGAGACCAACATGGCGACGGAGTGACTAAAGCAGAAACATGTGCATTTTTAATGTCTCCAACTTGGCATTGTTATAGACTTTAAGAACTCGGATTTGACATCCATCGGTTCATTAACCCATTCTTCGACACTTGGAGTTATTTATGGGCTGAACATTCACGGACATGGCATGGCAGAAGTCTTGAAAAATCCGACACAGGTCTTTTGAGAGGTATGATAGTGAGCTTAAGTTAAAGTTTACGACTATTTAGTAGAAAGTGTTGGTCTCATGAGCAAATAATATTCAGTTAATGGTATTTTTAGGATTAAGGTTACCTTCAAAACACCCGGCCACTTAATTATTTGAATCTCGTTAAATATGGACAGGCGGGTGACCCCACCAAAGCGGGTTAACCTCACTTTAATACCTGGGGTTTACACCCCATTTAATACGGACGTTTTTCTATGTCCCTGAAGAAAGCCCTTACAATTTCTCTCTCCTTTCTCCTTTCCCCAAGGGAAGTTTCATTGGAGAGACATCTGCGCCTCAATGACAGAAATTCCACCACGATGACATAAAATCTGTGCTAAATCTGGTCAGGAGTTCTGATTGGTTGACATATTAAATGAATTGTTTTAGCTATTGTTTACAAATGACAGAAAAGACAAAAATAAAGGTCACAAAGAGTGTTGCTGCAGCTCATTCACTGGAGAACTAACAATGTAACCACAATAGACCAGGAGGAACACAAACTCAAGCAAATTTGTATTTGGAACCTCATGACTACTAGATTGCATTATGTAAACATTGATTTGCATCGTCAGTGTGGAATTTTTTTCATTAAGGAGTAGACATCTCTCCTGCGAAACGTCCCTAGCTGCAGGAAGTGAGGAGAGACAGCTGTATTCGCAGGCTATACTCATCCCAGTTATCCCATTGACCCCCAGTCATTTTATTCACCCTAGTTACTCTAGTCATCCCAGTCACCCCAGTCATCTTAGTCCTCCTACTCATTCCAGTCATCCCAAACATTCCACCATCCAAATCATCCCTAGTCATCCTAGTCCTTGTAGTCACCATACCTCCTGCCAGACACCCTAGTAATCCTGGTGATCCAAGTTATCCCAGTCATCGCTGTCACCCTTGTCATCCCAGTCACCAAAGTCATCCTAGTCTTCCTAGTCAAACCAGTCATCCCAAACATTGCACCATCCAAATCATCCGTAGTCATCCTAGTCCTCCTAGTCACCATAGACATGCCAGGCACCCTAGTGATACTGGTAATCCAAGTTATCCCAGTCATCGCATCACCCTTGTCATCCCAGTCATCTCAATCATCCCAATCACCCTGCCATCCAATCCCAGTCACACAATTCATCCCAGTCATCCTAGCAGGGCTCGACTTTGCGACCTGTGGGGTCACCAATGCTACCAGCTTTTACTCAGTGGCTACTAAATTTTCATGCCTGGTCACCAACCTCGCCCCCAAGATAGGTGACTTTCTTCGTTAGGAAAACGTACACTGATGATGGTTTGTTATCCTTTACAAAACTAATGGATAGCTAACGGTTTTGCTGATGCTCTAACATTTTGCCTAAACACTCTAACAGTTTGTCTAAACGTTTTAACGATTTGTCTAAATGTTTTAACGATTTCTTCCAACACTCTAACGGATTGTTCTTTTGATCCAACAGTTAGTCCATTTAACGTTTGACTTTTACTTGAAAGAAGATTGTGAAAATCACAAGTGATGAATTCGATGAAAGTCTTATTGACTTTCAGGCAAATTGATTGCTATTCTCAACAGGTCTTCCCATGTTTCTCAGGGAATGACTTTTAGGGCATTGATTTAAGACAAATTCTTTATGTCATACATGTATCTCGATTGTGGACTTGATAGCAGATTAGTCTGATAAAAGCTTAAGCTAATCAAAAACAAACAGCGCTTATTTCTCGACCTTCTTGTAAACAACTTTATGCAAATTTCTGTTGAGCGTGATGACCCAAATAAAAGCTCTGCCATATTTTATTGACTTCTAATGAAGTACCGTTGAACTCATTCTGTTTGTCTAACAGACTTCTCGCAAAAAAACTTCTTTGCCTGAAAACATTAGCGATGTTTCCTCTTTCGGGAGACTTTCTATAACATGCTAGGCAACTGCGAAATAGATCAAGTTTCACTGATGTTCATTTCTGAACATGCAAATGCATAAGACACAAAACAAATTTTGCAGATTTTGTTCTTTAATAACCCATATAAGTTTTTTTTGTGATTCCTAAAGTTTATTTATCTAAATGTGTATTCCATTGCTTGAATACCTGTTTGAGTAGATTTACACTGAAGTGCTGGTGCATTTTCCCGAACACCGGTTTTCCCCTGTGTTCCCCTGTGGTACCCTGTGTTCCCTTGTGTTACCTTGTGTTCCCCTGTGTTACTCTGTGTTACCCTGTGTTTTCCTGTGTTACCCAGTGTTTCCCTGTGGTACTCTGTGTTTCCCTGTGTTTTCCTGTGTTACCCTGTGTTCTCCCATGTTTCCCTGTGTTCCTCTGTGTTCCCCTGTGTTACCTTTGTTAGCATGTGATGCCCTGTGTTACCCTGTGTTATTGTGTGTTATCCTGTTTTCCCTATGTTCCCCTGTGTTCTCCTGCTGTTTCCTTGTGTTACCCTGTGTTACTCTGTGTTCCCCCATGTTACGCTGTGTTCCCCTGTGTTACTCTGTGTTACTCTGTGTTCCCCTGTGTTCCTCTGTGTTACCCTGTGTTACTCTGTGTTACTCTGTGTCACCCTGTGTTACCCTTTTTTTATTTTTGTTACTCTGTGTTACTCTGTGTTACTCTGTGTTCCCCTGTGTTACTCTGTGTTAGCCTGTGTTTCTCTGTTTTACCTTGTGCTCTCCAGTGCTAGTCATCTCCAGTCGTCTTAGTCTCTATACCCACCCTAGTCATGCTAGTGATGCCAAACATCCCAGTTATCCCAGTCATGCCAGTCACCCTTGTCATGCTGGTCATAAGACATCCTGGCAATCCTAGTCATCCCAGTCATCCTAGGCATCCCAAACATCCCAGTCATATTAGTCACTCACCTAGTCACTCTAGTCATGTTAGTTATTCCAGTCATCTGAGTCATTCCTCTTACCTTAGGTACCCTAGTCAACTTTGTCATCCCAGTAACCCTAGTCATCCTAGTCATCCCAGTCATCTCAGTTACCCTAGTCATGCTAGTCATGTAGTCTTTCCAGTCATTCTGCCATCCAAGTCACCGTTGTTCGGAGTCTTCCTAGTCTCCTTAGCCACCCTAGACATCCTAGTCATCCTAGTTATCTCAGTTATCCTGGTCATGCCAGTCACATTAGTCATCCTAGTCACTCAAATCATTCTGCTATCCAAGTCACCCATAGTTGCCCTTATTCTGAGTCTTCCTAGGCTTCTTAGTCATCCCAGTCATCCTAATCACCACATTCATTCCAGTCATCCTTGTCATCCCAATCATCCTAGTTAGTCCAGTCCTGTCATCTTAGTCCTGTTGTCCCTGTTGTCCCTGTTGTCCCTGATGTCCCTGTTGTACATGTTGTCCCTCTTGTACATGTTGTCCCTGTTGTCTTCAGTGTTGTCCCTGTTGTTCTCAGTGATGTCCCTAATGTCCGTGTTGCCATCATTGTGCCTGTTCTCCCTGATGTCCCGGATGTCCCTGTTGCCCTTGTTGTCCCTGATGTCCCTGATGTCTCTGTTGTACATGTTGTCCCTGTTGCTGTTGTTGCCCCTGTTGTCCCCGTTGTCCCTGATGTCCCTGATATCCCCCTTGTCCCTGTTGTCCCTGTTGTCCCTGTTGTCCTTGTTGTCTCTGTTGTCCTCAGTGTTGTCCCTATTGCTGTTGTTGCCCCTGTTGTCCCTGATGTCCCTGATGTCCCTGTTGTCCCGGTTGTCCTTGTTGTCCTCTGTGTTGCCCCTGTTGCTCTTGTTGCCTTGTTGTCCCTGGTGTCCCTGTTGTGCTGAGTGTGTCCCCGGTTGCGGTGGGTGCTCTGGGGTCCCGCGCGTCGCTGTCGTCCTGTGTTTTGCCCACGTCTGTTTTTTTGTCTCTGTTGTGCTCACTGTTGTCCCTTTTGCTTTTGTTGCCCCTGTTGTCTCTGATTTCCCTTATGTGCCTGTTGTCCCTGTTGTCCCTGTTGTCCTCCGTGTTGCCCCTGTTGCTGTTGTTTCCTTGTTGTCCCTGTTGTCCCTGTTGTCCTCAGTGTTGTCCCTGTTGCTGTTGTTGCCTTGTTGTCCCTGTTGTCCCTGTTGTCCTCAGTGTTGTCCCTGTCTCTCTTGTTGCCCCAGTTGTCCTCGTTGTCCCTTTTGTCTCTGTTCTCATTGTTGTCCCTGTTGTCCTTGTTGTCCCTCTTGTCCTGGTTGTCCTGGTTGTCCTGGCTGTCCTTGTTGTCCCCCTCACCTTAATCATCCCAGTTGTTTCCAGCCTTGCCACTCATCCCAGCACCCTAGACACTGCAGTCATCCCAGTTACACAAATTATCTCAGTCATCTCAGTCATCCTTGTCAACCCAGTGATCCAACATCCACCTTTAATAAAAAGCTTTCTTTTTAATAAACTAAGCTAGGATATACTGTTGAGTTTTCTGATAAATGCTTTGACAAGTTCTATTTGTTTTAAAAGAGTGAAGACAGTTTAAATTAATAATTGTTGTCAATAATGTTTTTCTTTAAGGAATGGACTATTTGCGTCACAAGTTTGGAAGTCTTGATGAAGAAGAAAAGCATGTCAACCTGCAGGACAATGTAATACAATCAGAAAACAAGATAATCAACAAAAGGCAGCTCTAAAAACAAGGTAAACAATTCTCCTAACTTTTTTACAGGAATACATTACATGCATATACCATGTGTGACATGACAATGTTAACTGTATTTAAAGCCACTAATCTGTCAGTTGCTCAGACAATTGCAGTCTTGAATTCAAAATAACTTTTTCATTTGATTTTATTTTGTTATTTTGTGGCTGCCTAGGTTTTTTTTCTTTGTTGGCTATAGCCTGGCAGGGTGGTGGACACAGAGATCTCTTGGTTGGTGAGTGTGTACGATTTTTATTCACTTGTTGTAAAGAATCGCAAACGAATGAGTGAGTGCAGCGAACAAGTGAGTTTACGATTCTTCACAACTCATGAATAAAAATTGTATAAGAGAACCAACCATGAAGTTTTTTGTTTATTTTATAAGTATCGAGATTTCTCTCAAACAATTATGACAAATTAAAAGCGATTAGATGATGAAATGAGTTTTATTCACTTAAATGCTTAGTTTACAAATTGAACATCTTTTCAAACCTTTTAGACGATGAAATAAGTCTTACGCACTTAAAAGCGTATAAAAGCTAGTTGAAAGCTTATATAATGAACGGTGATTCATTTCACCTAACACGCATTACCTTCTACGACTGCAGAAGGAGTAGAATAATCACATAAAGGTTGAAGGAGGTTTAGGTCACATTTCAAGCATAGGTTTTCATTTCAGTAGCTTTACTGGTTCATTGTAAATCATTGTGATGAGTGGTGGGGCCTCTTGTATGATTACCCCCTCATGCTCTCCTTGCTAATTTAAGTTCCCTACCACCACTTTTCGGATCAT